CTCCAGCCATGGTGACAGAGCAAGACTCCGTCTCAAAAAGAAAAAAATACTGGATAGAAGTAGGATCAGCAGCTAATCTATGAGAAATTTTATATGACTAGACACAAAAAAATTGAATGCTTATCCTACCATCCAGTAAAAAATACTTTTCAGTGCCCCCAAAATAGCACTTTATTAATGAAAAAATATAATTTTATCACCACCACTTTTTAATGCTACAAGGTTCTCTAAGGAGCAGAGGATAAGAAAAAAAGAGAAATTTTAATAAGGTATTATTATAGTGGCAGAATATGGTTGAAGTGAATTTAAATAAGGATAATAACAGTTCTTCACAGTAAAGTTGTGAAGACTAAATCAGATAATACATGTCAGAAATTTAATACTTTGCTGCTATTATTACTGTGTGAATATGTACAATATGTTACCTGTTTGTAGGCAGCTGATATTGTGTTACTGTTTGCATTAATTTAATGGATAAAGATGGCAGGTGAAACTCCTAACTAAACATCTGGGGGCAGGAATGGCAGTGGACTCCTTACTGAAAATAAGAAGATAAAGTGAAACTCTCAGTACTGAACTATGAGTTAGCTAGCTTCTTGCCTTTATTCTACTCTGAGATCTGACAGCCCATCTCCTACTACCTGAGATCGATTCCTCTCCAGAAAAATTCAACTAACCTGAAGAAAAACCTTTAAAAAATCATGTTGGGGTATGAAGCATGGTTAAGGAAAAAGCTTTGCTGCTCCCTTAACTACAGTGAAGCTCACCACAGAAAAGTCCTGCCCATGCACACAAGAGATGTTCCGATTAGCTTTCTCTGTGTCTCTCAAATATGAAGGATCCCAAGAAAGTTACAACCAAGATTCTAACTTTAAAGACTATGACCAAACCAAATAGCAAAAAGTAACTTCAAGGAAATACAGGGTTGAATAGCCCTTGTCTGAAACAGCTGAGACCAGAAGTATCTCAAATTCTGAAATATCTGCTTGTATATAGAGATACCTTGGGGATGGGACCCAGTCTAAACAAAATTCATTTATATTTCATGTACACTTAATACAAACAGCCTGGGCCGGGCGCGGTGGCTCAAGCCTGTAATCCCAGCACTTTGGGAGGCCGAGGCGGGTGGATCACGAGGTCAAGAGATCGAGACCATCCTGGTCAACATGGTGAAACCCCGTCTCTACTAAAAATACAAAAAATTAGCTGGGCATGGTGGCGTGTGCCTGTAATCCCAGCTACCCAGGAGGCTGAGGCAGGAGAATTGCCTGAACCCAGGAGGTGGAGGTTGCGGTGAGCTGAGATCGCGCCATTGCACTCCAGCCTGGGTACCATGAGTGAAACTCCGTCTCAAAAAAAAAAAAAAAAAAATACAAACAGCCTGAAGTTAATTTTATACAGTATTTGAAACTAATTGTGTATATGAAACAAAGTTTTGACTGTGACCTGTCACATAAAATCATATATGGAATTTTCTACTGTGGCATCATGTAGGCACTCAAGAAGTTTCAGATTTTGGAGCATTTTGGATTTCAGATTTTCAGGTTATGGATGCTCAACCTGTAGTGTTAATGCAGGGAACAAAGAAAATTTTAAAACAACCAAAAAACCTAAATTAATATCCTTAGAATTATGAGAAGACATTGAACTCTCAAGAACAAGGTCCTACTTAAAAAGATGTGGATTACCGGCTAAGTGCAGTGGCTCATGCCTGTAATCCCAGGGCTTTGGGAGGCCAAGATAGGAGAATCACTTGAGGCCAGGAGTTTGAGACCCTCCTCGGAAACACAGTGAGACCCCTATCTCCACAAAATTTTAAAAATTAGCCATGAGCCCATAGTCCTAGCTACTCAGGAGACGGAAGTAGGGGATTGCTTGAACAAAGGAGTTGAAGGTTACAGTGAGCAGTGATTGTGCCATTGCTCTACAGCCTGGGTGACAGAGGGAGACCTTATCTATAATGAAAGAAAAAGACTTGGATTCCCCATATCTTAAATGCAAGAGAAAACAAAGGGAAGTCCCAATATGATCAATTCTATTATGATAATCGTGTTACTTGACTTTGAGACAGTAGTCAGTCCAGACTGAAGGCTGTAGAACTCCAAGAAGCATGTTGTTTCCCTGTGATTTAGAGAATAAATAATGACAAATGATTCTGATGATTAATAGAAGATACAAATGAAATTGAACAAATTATAATCAAGGCAATTACTACTTCCAGAAATACAAAAATATTATAAAAGAAAATGGTAATCATAGTATACTATAGAAGGCAATATTATTTGTTTATATATTAGATATGAATTTAACCAAAATTATACAATTAGTAGACATGCCAGTATAAGATCAGGTTGGGGAAGGAGAATGGGGGAGAAGTATGAAAAGCATATCTTCATCTTCCATAGCAGGGAATTAGATAATATTTATAATTTTTTTAAAAAATGAGGGAAATATAAGTGGATGAGGCAATATAGCAATACATTTGGAGATTAGATCCCCAGACTTAAAAAAATACCTTATTTAGTTTTTAATAAACAGAGTCAGAGTCTTGCTTTGTTACATAGGTTGGTCTCAAACTTTTGGCCTCAATCCTCTTGCCTCAACCTCCCAAAGTGCTAGGATTATAGGTGTGAGCCACCATGTCTGGCCAAATGCCCGGATTCTAAAATCAGAATCTAATCCAAGCTCTGTCACTTACTTAATCTGTGACTGTGTAAATTACTTAATATTTCTGCTCCGGAGTTTCTTCATCTCTAAAATGACTGTTCTAAGGATTTACTTCATAAATGCAGAGAGCTTAGAACATAATTGGAATATTTTTAATAAGTGTTCAAATAAATGTTATAATTAAAACCTTGTTACTTGGAAATGCAGAAGTAAACAGAGAAGTGACTAAAAGTTGAAAATGGCTGCCTCTGCAAAATGGGAATGAGAGGTAGGGAGAATGAGGAGACCGGGATCTAACATGTACCCTCTGGTGTCTTACAGTAACACTGTCCAATATAATTTTTTTTCTTTTTTTGAGATAGAGCCTCATTCTATCATCCAGGCTACCCAGGCTAGAGTACAACAGCACAATTTCAGCTCACCACAACCTCTGCCTCCCAGGTTCAAGCAATTCTCCTGCCTCAGCCTTCTGAGTAGCTGCACGCCACAACGCCTGGCTAATTTTCGTATTTTTTAGTACAGATGGGGTTTCACCATGTTGGCCAGGCTGGTCTCAAACTCCTAAACTGAAGTGATCCACCCGCCTCAGCCTCCCAAAGTGCTGGGATTACAGGCATAAGCCACCGCGCCTGGCTCAATAGAATTTTAATGCAAGCTATTACATGATTTGAAATCTTATATTAAAAAAATTGAAAAATAAAGTGAAATTGATTTTAATTTTTTATTTAATCCCGTGTATCCAAAATACCATTTAAAATATGTAATCATAAACATATTAGAGATCTTATACTATTTGAAACCCAACATTTATTTTTACACTTACAGCACATCTCAATTCACACTAGCCACATTTTAAGTATTCAATAATGACATGTAGTTAGTAGCTATTATACTGGACAGTGCACCTATGGTAATACTTGATTTTTAAAAACAATACATATCATCAATGGCTGCTATCAAATCAGAGAAAGAGAAACTCAATTGTTTTTTATCTCCTGATTAAAGACTACTATTTTATTTATATAGCAGTCTAATAAAAAAAAAAGCAGAAGAAAATGAAGCAAGCAAATAAGTGAGCCTGAATCTGATCAAGCCTATAGATTCAATTATCAATTTACAGAAAATATAGAGGAGAAAATAACACAATAAATGGCACGTCAAGGATGCAAACAGCAAAATCCAGATGGTGAGAGACTCTAAGTAGACAAGCAAACCAAAAACAGGAATTTTTAAAATGTGAGGGAGAAGGAATTCATGAATTTAAAAAGACATTGCCCAGTGCAGTGGTTCACACCTGTAATCCTAATACTTTGTGAGGCCGAAGCAGACAGATCACTTAAGGACAGGAGTTCCAGACCAGCCTGACTAACATGGCGAAGCCCCATCTCTAATAAAAACACAAAAAATTAGCCAGGCACGGTGGCATGTAATCCCAGCTACTCTGAAGGCTAAAATAGGAGAATCGCTTGAACTTGGGAGGAAGAGGCTGCAGTGAGCAAGACTGCACCACTGTACTTCTGCCTGGGCAATAGAGCAAGACTCTGTCTATAAATAGTAATAATAAAATAATAAAAAGACAAAAGATTTGTCAATAAATTGTAATTTGTGGCCCTTATTTAGATCCTGACTAGAACTCTTTAACAATTTTTATATTTGTGAAATAACTGAAAATCTGATACTATTTTTACTAATTCTTTTTGAGGCACAATAATACTTTGTTTTTTAAAAGAGCTATTAGGAATACATGCTGAAATATTTATGGATAAAATTATATGCTATCCAGGATTTGCTTCAAAATAAGATGTGGGATGGTAACTTGGGGGAAGTGGGTGGGAGTTCAGATGAAATAAAATTGGCTATAAATTGATAACTACTGAAGATGGGTGATAGGGACATGGAGGTTCCTTACACTACTTTACTCCTGTATATGTTGTTTTAAATTTTCCACAATAAGAGACTGAAAACAAAACTAAGAGGCATGGTATTAATTTTAAAAATAAATTAATTTTAAAAATAAAAACTTACAAAGACTATAGGTCCTACCTAAGCCCAACATTAATTCCTTCAGACCTGAGGAGAGCTTTTTCATTTTATTTCTTATCTTAACATAAGCCTAGGAAACCTGTATATATCAGCAGTTTGACTTTACACATCCCTTTCCACCTCATCTGATACCCTCCATCAGAAATAAATTTTCTATTTAAAATCTGTTTATAAACGATTTGAAATTACCCCCTTGACAACCTATAAAAGGCTTTAATACTTAAGGAAGAAGAATTCTCAAAAAACAACATCAGGCAAATTCAAAAAGATAAATTCAAGACACTAGTCGATAAAGCTGGAGAACTTACTTTTATTCTTGCAGTTTTATACTAGGAGGTCAACATTTAATTTAATAAGCCATTGTCCACAATTGATTAAAAATGTTTAATCCTTCAATTGTACATCAATATCCTATGACTCCAAATTTTATTTATCACTCTCCTTCAAGTCTGAAGAAAATATTAATTTGCTAAGTTCAACAGACAGTACGTCCCACTGACAGTATGTCCCACTGACATAACATTTAGTATGATGTCCTACTCTCATATTAGAATTAAGGACAGCCAGTATCAAACTGGCCTGAAACCTGATTGTGTTCCTGGCTCAGAATACCTGTAGCAAATTTGTAAATCCACACCAAGACACAAAATTAATAGGGTGTGTTTATCTTATAAAAAACTTTTCACAGTAAAAATCAACATTAAAATTTTATCAAATTCCGACATTATGGTTTTTTAATCCAATTAAGCTTTCAAAATGCCTGATTAGCTGTGAATTAATTATAAATAACTTCATGTAGTTTGCCCAGCATTTCAAAATGGTTATGGAATACAGCTTTTAAAATGTCAAAGTATGCTATACATATTGCACTTTTCTGCTAGGCTGGGCCAGTATCTTTCATGGCAAGATCCTCAAACTATTGAATAAAATACACTTTTAAATCAATATAGGTACTTGATTAATTTCCCTGAAATTATCAACATCGTTACCAAAATCTTCCAGGATTTTGTAAGATTTGATTCCTTAAATACAATTTTAAAGTTAAACTTATGGAGGGGAAAAAAACCCCTCAGTTATACTGACTGTAAATTTTACGTCCTTTTTTGGTCCCTCAATGACCAAAGAGAATTTTAAACAAATTATGCTTCATGTTTCCTGGCTTAATTAAAAGCTACAATTTCTATTATCCAAATTAAGAAATATTATACTAATCAAAAGCTATTAATTTTGAAATGTCTATGTATGTCTTTCTGTAGGTCCCCTTAGAACCTTTCCAAACATTTATAATCAAGAGATTTTAATCAATTATGTACTAGAATCATATTAAAGAAAAGCTTATTTTGCAAAAATAAAATCACTTTCCAATATGCTTGACAGAAACAAGCTATTCATTTTCATTTGTGTTCCACTGAAGACATTACTGAAATCTGTCCAATGGTTTATTTCCAAGCAGTCCACTACGGAATTCTTCGGAATGTTTTAAGATTGGCTGTAGCTAGAGTTCTGACTTCCATTTGGACCCTGCTCTCCTTCACTGTTCAAATGGGGAAGAAAGAGATTTTATACCAATTAAAAGATCCATTTTAACAACCTGATAAGCCTACTAACTTTAAAGTTCATTATTCTACGGCACAACGATATAAAACAAAGACATTCCTCATTATAAGACACGTGAAAAATTAAAATCCATAAGACTAACATTTGGTTTTATGTTTTTATTCTTATGTAACTTTGTGTCCACACACATAACAAGCATTCTGGAAATTAGTGTCCGTATACACTCAAAAACTTTAAATTAGGGTATGGGATTTCATTGTTATTACAGGTATCACTCAACATAGAGACTATAGCTTCTTCTAAACAAATTTCCTATAAAATTAAATCTTACATATAAAATCCTATTCCTACTATTTATGAAAAATAAGAAGTGTTCAAAAAAAAACATATAAATACAGCAAACCTTTATAAGTCAGAAAGAAATATAATTTCCTGGAAAATGCTGAATACTTAAAATAAAAATGCTGAATACTTAAAAATAACTAAAACTGAAAATACCAGTAACTGTGGCAATAGGATTATTGCCTTATCTTGTCCACCATCATCTTGCAGCTTCAGGCCCTGCCACTAGTGGAGAATCACTCAGGGAATTTCTGCAAAAAATGCATCCAAAGGTAGCTGTTTGAATGACTGCCTTAAACAGCTCCTTGAATAAATATTAACTTTTTCCAAATTGTAACATTAACTTATCAGTAGCAATCCATAAATCTATTGTTATATAACAATCATTTTTCTAAAGAAACAATGAAGATGGATAGCATTTCTTTATTTCTCTGCTGACTTTCTCCCTGCCTCAAATGAACTGATACACAGTGAGCGCTGAGAACCACAGAATTAAATGAACAGATCCTACTTAACACATACACACACACACACACACACACACACACACACACAAAAAAAAAAAAAAAAAAAAAAAAAAAAAAAAAAAAAAAAAAAAAAAAAAAAAAAAAAATAGCCAGCAGAGGAAAAAAAAAAAAAAAAAAAGATGGCACAGAGTCAAACTGACATGAAACTACTACAGTTCTGAATTCTGCCTGAATTTCAGATGAAATTGCTAATGCTGTCAGCTTTAAACTTATGGTATATGACCATATGTTGAGAGATACCTGTAATACACCTCTACTGCATTGGGAAAAGTTACTAATCAGATTAATTTTTTTTTTAAATGAGACATTCTCAAGTCACAAATTTAAAAAAATAAAATTAACATGGATCATGAAATTTTGGAAGAAATGTTTTTAAAAAAGATACAAAACAACATAATCTAAGGAAAGTATGTTAAGTATGATATATAATTAAATGACAATAATTAAAGTCTACCAAGTACCTGTTTGGAGGTGGTTTTGGTTTTGGCATCTTACTAAGTATAGTTGCCATCTCTTTTCTTTCATCGAAATTCTTCCACTGCTCATATAGTTTTAAAATAACCCTGATTATTTCCAAAATCTAGAAGAAAATATTAGAAAAGTTGTTAGTGGCAAAAACAAGCACCATTTCATATAAAGAGCACACATCACTTATTAGACAACCTTCAGAAAACAGTAAATAGTCTCTGTCCCTAAGTGCTCAGGTTAGGTTAGACAATCCTGATAAATCTGAAAGCAGTAATTTTCACTGCAGTGCCGTTTAGGATTTTCCTTCTGGCCCCTCACTTTTCAGCACGTATGTACTGCCCGTTCTTATCTATCTCTTCAGTTGATTTCCTTCCATCTGATGACATCTTTTAAACTGAAACGTACTAAGAATAAAGGTTCTAATCATGAAGGAATATACCACTATAGAGCATACTCCTCTAATATAAGTTGTTTTCAACAACTTAGTGGGGGATAGTGCACAACAGATGTTTTGATTCTCTGTTAATTACACATAAGGTACTCAAAAATTGGCAGCTACAAATTTGAAATAACTAGTTTCCAAATTAGCCCTTTTTTCCCACCTGAGTAGACCCTAACATTAGGATTAATTTTAATGCATTTAACATTTGAGCAAAAAAGCTAGAAACACAGCAAAAGCCATTTTGCCAGGAGACAGGCTATGTTACAGCATTTCACAGTTGTATTCAGTGGTTACCAGGGAGCTTTTAAAATAATCATGGGAATTAGAGGCTACTTTACAACAAATCAAACCAAAAGCTTACCATTCTACTTAATCCTAAACTGAAAAGAGATAGATAACTTAAATAATCAGCATTAACTTTTCCCACCAAACATGTTTTGTTTGTTGTTTGTTTGTTTTGAGATGGAGTCTCGCTCTGTTGCCCAGGCTAGAGTGCAGTGGTATGATCTTGGCTCGCCGCAACCTCTGCCTCCTGAGTTCAAGCAATTCTCTCAGCCTCCCGAGAGGCTGGGACTACAGGTGTGCGCCACTATGCCCAGCTGATTTTTGTATTTTTAGTAGAGATGGGGTTTCACCATATTGGTCAGGTCTTGAATTCCTGACCTTAGGTGATCCACCCACCTAGGCCTCCCAAAGTGGTGGGATTATAGGTGGGAGCCACTGTACCCAGCCCATGTTTCTTAATATTTTGTAACCAATAATCTTCTGAGCCTGGGGGACATCATAAGATTTTAGGCTCATGATAAGTAAATATGACATTAATTTTTAGACATTCAAGTTTATATACAACTAAGGGAATTTTACAGAATACCTTCTCCATATCCACAGAAAGCTCAGCAAACCATTGCCTGGCATCTTTCTGCTGTACAACACAGGCTACATGTAGGCAAGCTGAAATGAAAATGAGAGACCACTGTCCATGTTTAACTACAAACACAGCATATATGATTCTAACAAAGATTTTTCACTACAAATTTCCTGTGTATTTTCCAACACTCTTTAAAAAAAATTATACTACCTATAAGAGTTACCATTGACCATCTCACCAACTTAATCTGAGACAGAAAAAAATTACTAAATTACACCAAGGTTCTTGATGTCTGGTCCTTACTGTGTGCTAGTAATGCTGTAGTTGCCTTGAGAGTCAGGCATGTTAAAGTGGGAAAAACATCCAATGAGAACAGAAAAGGGGAGTTATCCCTCAGCAGTGTACAAAGTAGCAGTTAAACTGCACCCAGAAGTCAGTGTGACAAAAACAAACAAAAATGTCAATTAACACACTAGGTTTTAACAATGTTGACCATGTTTCTACACTTCAATTAAAAGCAATGCTGCACTGGGCGCAGTGGCTCGCGCCTGTAATCCCAGCATTCTGTGAGGCCAAGGCGGGTGAATCACCTCAGATTGAGAGTTTGAAACCAGCCTGACCAACATGGAGAAACCATGTCTCTACTAAAAATACAAAATTAGCTGGGCATGGTAGCACATGCCTGTAATCCCAGCTACTTGGGAGGCTGAGGCAGGAGAATCGCTTGAACCCAGGAGGCAGAGGCTGCAGTAAGCCAAGATCGCGCCATTGCACTCCAGCCTGGGCAACAAGAATGAAACTCTATCTCTCACTCACACACACACACACACACACACACACACACACACACACACAAAATGCAGTGTTGCCTCACCTTTTTCTTTTCTTTCATTATTAGAACATATGATCACGTTATGTGAAAGTTGGGCACATCCTTACAGAATTCAGTATTGTAATCAGAGGTGAAAACAAATGTAATATACTGTATACAATATTAGTTATATATGTTATATACAATATAAACTAACAAAGATAGTAAAAGTGCTCAAAGACAAGAATCTACATCACAATTTTGCCTAGAACAATTTCTACTGAGCAGCCTGGCTACCCTGAACCCACACCAGCTTAAGTTATATTCCTTGGTCTGGTTACCCATATTACTTTGCTAAGGATGACATTCTAGGCAAACAGCAACTCAAATGTGAATTTACACACTGGTTGCCCTAAGTCAAAGCTATGAGTAGGGCTTAGGTCAAGAAGGGGTTAAAAAACTAAAGAACTGAAATAATAAAAACAGGAAATTAAAATACAGTGGAAAATGCTATTAACATGAATATGCATAGAGTACACTGGAGATTGAGAAAGTATCTTAAACCCAGACTATGGTGACACTGAAAGGGTAGGGGGAGGGTCACTGAAGAGGTGATGTCTAAGCCAAATCTTATTTAAAAGAATGACAGTGGAGAAGATAAATAGTATGTATATAAGTTAGGAGACAAATCTTGCTAGCACCGGGTTTCTCCATCTTGGCACTACTGACATCTTAGATCCGACAATTGTTTGACACTGTCTTGCATACTACAAGATGCTTGGCAGCATCCCCAGCTTCTACCTACTAGATGCCAGTACCACCCAACCCTAGTTATGACAACTAAAACCAAACATTGCCAAATGTGCCCTTGGGGACAAAATTATGCCCCATTGTAACCACTAGCCTAGATCAACAGTGTGGAGGATAGATCAGCTCTCTGAGCATAGGAATGCTGGAGAGTAGTAATAAGCCAGTTAGGAGACTGCTGTGGTAACATGGATAGAAATGAGAAGATGACTATGAGATTACAGAAGGGACAATCGAAAGGAAGGCATAAAATGTATTGGTAACCAACTACATGTGGGAATTGAGGGAGATGAAAGGGCCTAACTGCTGGGTTTCCAACTAAGGTAAATAACTAGTGCTATTCACCAAGCAGGCAAAGACATTAAAAGGAGGAACATATTTTGGCACAAAGAGATGAGCTCAATCCTCATCACGAGTCTGAGGTGCTGGTGAGATGCCAAGTGGAGCTGTGTAAAAGGAAGATGGATATAAGAACTGCCGAGTGGCTAGCTCTTGGCTAAATAAAGAAATTTCAATGTTTCAGCACATAAGTGATTGTGGAAGCTATGAATCTCAGTGAAAGTACTCAAGACAGAAAGCAGTGATGGCAAAGATATGACACATGTTCTGTTATCCCTTCCTTCCTACCTATGCAGATCCCAGTATTCCTACCCACTGAACCCAGGCGTCACTTCAAAATCCCTTAAAATCCAGTCCTTTCAGGGAGCTGCCAGTAATACAGAAGTGTAAGTACAACCTATTTGTCAGCCCTGATTTAAGAAAGCCAAGAAACATCAACATTTAAGGAATAATTGAACAAATAAACAAAGAGAAACTAATGGAAAATAAGGGGAAAATCAAGAGGATGGAGTTATAAAACTCAATAGAAGGGACTGGGTGCGGTGGCTCATACCTGCAATCCCAGCACTTTGAGAGGCCAAGGCAGGTGGATCACCTGAGGTCAAGAGTTCAAGACCAGTCTGGCCAACAGGTCAAAACCCCATCTCTACTAAAAATACAAAAATTAGCCAGGTGTGGTGGTGCACACCTGTAATCCTCCTGTAGCTACTCAGGAGGCTGAGGCAGGAGAATTGCTTGAACCCAGGGAGTGGAGGTTGCAGTGAGTCAAGATCATGCCACTGTACTGCAGCCTGGGAGACAGAGTGAGACTCCATCTCAAAAAAAATCAATAGAAGGGAAAGGAAAAGAAAAGAAGAAATTAACAAGTACCCAATATATACCCGGCATTATTTGGTGCTCTACAAACTATCTCATTTAATTCTTCAAATGACTCAATGGAATTAGTATCCTCTCCATTTTATAATTAAGGACCCAAACACAGAAAGGTCAGATAATTTTCCCACAATTGTAAAGGAAGTAAAGTTTAAGCCTAGGACTATCTGACTCCACCCATTACAGCACTGCCTTCCACAGACAGTAGAATGAATGTAGCTGACTTCTTTCTCTAGCCAGGCATTATGGACCACACATGCTTCTTTACTCAACCTCCGAGTACTTGTTTCGGCTCAAGATATGAAGGACAGGTCCAATTATTTTACACGCTACAACTAATACTGGCTTAATTCTGAACTTTTCCCTGTAAACAAACAAATACATTCTTTTCAGACACTGATTAAAACTACTTTGAATGGTTTCAAAAAAACAAAAAAACTTAACCAAAAAAAAAAGGGGTTGGGGGAACAACAATCCTGATTTGTGTCAGTTGCAGTTTGTATTATTGAAAGTTCACATGCAAGGATTAGTCTATTACTTCACGGAAGATAAAAACATAAAGTACAATAGGGTGAAATTTAGTTTAGGATGACCTAAATAGGTTTATAACAATTTAACTAATAAAGGCACACCATGCTTACGTACCTAAAGCTATCATGAAAGGAGGATACAGTAGGCAAAGATCCGTTCTGTAGGTATCATTCACTATCCTCCTATAGAAATGTAAATCATATTATTACTGAAAGCAGATCTACCTCATCTGTATATTTCCTCCAGAGAGGGCCAGATTTCCCATCTTTGTACACATTTATTTCCTTTTATATTACTGAAGCACAGCTATGAAAGTGAAAACATCAAGGCAAAAGGATAGATACATGAATGTGACAACAAATACACATATATCAATGAATAAAATTACAGCTAAATATACTTTAAATTTCAAAATCTCATAACAAATTACACATTTTTCTAATTTTTTAAAAATCAGAAAATCAAATTAAAAAACCAAAAGTTATACAGTGAATGTATATGTATGTCACATACTACTAAAAAGTATTCTGATTAAAGATAGCTTCAGTCTTAATTTTTATGTTGACAGTCTGTGTTTCATATAAAATTAAATTTTATAGGTATATTTATAGAACAGATAATTTAGGATGGTTTTCATTTTGTTATTTACTCCACTACAGTTATTAAAATTTAACAAGTGGTATTTTGCTCAACATAAGATATCTTGGGGCAATAGTTTAATGACTTTAAAAATACTGAACTTCATATTTAGTTGTCAACCTTCCTATCTAATAACATGTTACACTATTAATAACTTCTGTTCTAATTACCATGCAAGGGGAAGCAACATGTCTTCTTGGCCCATGTCCTGCACATACTGGAGCAAAGGTCTATAAGGATGATACACTATCAAGCAACAATCCTAGAAACAGTTTAAAAAATGTGTATGTATAAAAAACAGATTTATTACAACACAAAAATGATATCATTACCCAACTCATTTGTAATTGTATTATTTCAAAGTGAATTTCATTAACTCATGCTTGCTTCCCTTTTATTTGCTTAAGCAAGCAGTATGACAGCCCTAAACTCTACTATAATAGTGAAGGCAGTGCTCTCTCTGGAATATACCTTGATAAATCGGTTGGCAGTCAGTCAGCATCCATTCATTCCCTTAGAGACTCAAAGTGTCACATCTGCAACACACTGAAACCTCTTATTAGCCTATAAATCCGTAATTCCCAACTGGAGGAGCAGAATTCTGCCAAAGACATAATCTATCTTTAAATAACACTGCACGCACACACAAATTGTGCACATAATTTACAGTGGTTTAATGTCCTGACTTGTCTGTTTCTAATAATTTTATTACAGTTACTTACTATAGAATAGAAAAGTTTTCCCATCCTAAGTAGTATATATAAAGTATTTTACAGGCTTCAGAGAGAATACAGACGCTAACATAAATAGGCTACCATGATTTCACTATCACATATCAGGTGGATGGTTTTAAAATGTATCTCCCTAATATCATTTCTTTAAATAATTTCCAATTTCATTAAATTTGAAAATGTTTTAATCTATTAATCACATAATATATACTTACCATTAGTTCTAACAGATAGAATTCACATTCTAATATCTGTTTAAAGAAAAGACTATCAATAAAATGTCAACTTGAAACCAAATTAGATAAGTCTACTTAATCTAATATAAATTATAGACATTATAATTTATCAAAAATTTTTACTAAAATATTTTAAAAATCCAGACAATAAACACAATTTACATTAAAATCAATATATGCAATAAAAATTACTTTTTACTATTATATTACACATCAAATTATGATTATAGAAATTTTAATCCTTGTAAGGAAAAGCCAGCTTCTCACAAGCATTCTTATTACTCACTTTTATTTAAAATATTCTGTAAAAACATCAGATTTTCCAGTATACTTTCTACTCAGCAAATGCAAAAATACAATTATTTCTACTTAAAACAATGTAGCTTAAAGAGAACAAACAAATCCCTTGCAAAGTGGAAAAAGAAGCACATGCCTATTAAAATGTCAATAGAAATTTCCCTTATATTTCATACTGTTCCATTAAAGTAGTTTTTAATACCAGCTGAATAGTAGTATCACCTGGGAGCTTTTACACAGTACCAATGTTGGAAGCCCCAAGCCTGAAAGTTCTAATTTAGTTGTTCTGAAAAATCCAACATCAATATTATATACAATTAATGAGCAGCCAGGGTTGATAATCACTACTATGAAGTTTTTTTTTTTTTTTAATGGTAAAAGCTATTTAGCTTTAATTTGGAATAATGTCTGTATTCATGTAATACCTGAAACTGCTATTTCTAGGAAACTATTAAATTTAGTCTAATATAAAATAGACCTAGTTTGTATAAAGCTTTGATAAGTGTTTTATTTTTTACCATATACTTACATGATTCATCCTATAAGGAAATTCCTTTGGAAAGGCATATGAAAATCTAGTTTTTACTGCAGAAAATAAAAAAAAACAATTTAAACTGAGAAAATGGGAAATGAATTAACTCAAAATTCTTTTAACAGAGCAGAATATTAGAGAGTTGAGCAAAATTATTTTCAGTAGGAATTCTTGGCAATACTTAGGGACCCAGATTTTTGATTTCAGGGAAGGGGAAAGACTGGGTGGTAGGACATCCAAGACAGCTTTAATTTTGTATTTACTACTTTAAGAAAGGGTTCTGATGTTTAAAAAAGAAAAGGATCAGAAAAAAATATCACTAGCTTTTATCATTTCTAAAATCTTTTCAACTACAGAATGGTATTCTCCTGTTTTCCAGTGACTGAGCTTAGAAGGAACACAGGGGTTATGTATGTGTTTACAATATATACAATTGGTAAAAAATATACATATTAAATATTGGGAGGATAGTACACCATTTTCTAAACTTTTTACAATGACCAGGTATTTATCAAAATATATATTTTAATAAAAGCATTAATATATGTGCAAAGGTCTCTAGAGTTTTCTTTAATGCCACACACACATAAAGTTACTACTCTATTATCTATTACTTTATTAGTCACTAAATAAAGTACAAATGAAAAAACAATGTTAACCATCCATCCCCCACTCCTTAAAATGGTGTGAGCATATACATATAACTACTATTTGAGAAAATTGTATTCATGCCATTTTAATACACTTAATTTAGCCAAGTAACTATTGACAGGTCCTAAAAGATCTGTTTGGTGTCAGCTTCCATTTGTACAAAGCCCAAGTGATCTCACTGAAATTAAAAGAAATTCCATTTCTGGCCGGACATGGTGCTATAATTAGCGCTTTGGGACACCAAGGCAGGTAGATCACCTGAAGTTAGAAGTTTGAGACCAGCCTGGCCAACATGGTGAAACCCCATCTCTAGTAAAAATACAAAAATTAGCTGGGCATAGGGGCACAAGTCTGTAGCATGCCTACTCGGGAGGCTGAGGCAGGAGAATTGCTTGAACCCGGGAGGTGGAGGTTGCAGTGAGCTGATGTTGTGCCACTGCACTCCAGGTTGGGTGTCAGAGTGAGACTCTATCTGGGAAAAAAAAAAAAAAAAAAAAAAGGGGAATTCCATTTCTACCATGCACTCTATTTTCTTTTCTTTTATTTTTTTTTTTGAGATGGAGTCTTGTTCTGTTGCCAGGCTAGAGTGCAGTGGCATGATCTCGGCTCACTGCAACCTCCATCTCCCAGGTTCAAGCAATTCTCCTGCCTCAGCGTCCTGAGTAGCCAGGACAACTGGCTCGAGCCACCATGCCCAGCTAATTTTTGTATTTTTAGTAGAGACAGGGTTTCAACATGTTGGCCAGGATGGTCTCGATCTCTTGACCTCGTGATCCGCCCACCTTGGCTTCCCAAGTGCTGGGATTACTGAGCCCAGCACTATGCATTATATTTTCAAAGATTTGTTTTGCAAATTAAGTGCCCTACAGCTAATTTAGATGTGTAACATCACCAGGATTGAAACCTAGAATGATGTAAACTAGACATTAGGAAATTTGTCTTTCTTTTCTTGTCTCCTTTAATTTAAGACGGACCTATTAAGGTTTCTGAGTTTTACAAATCCTTGTAAATAAGATGTAAAGCATACCAGCAAAACAGGTTCTTTAATAATGGTAGACAATCAATAAGGTAAATTTATCTCCCCATCTCCTGGACCTTAACACCTAACACCTCTATCAAGATTAGAGTTACCTGATGCTGTCACAATATGTCTGTTACTTACTCCACGCTAAAACTGCTCTGCATTTTTTTTCTGTCTTCTAATCGTTTTTGTACAAATTGGAGAAAAATACATTCCCTCCTCTCTATTGTTTGTCTTACCACTTATGCACTTATCATCTATTCAATTGATATTTCTTACTATTTTTTCCCATCTTTAACCTTTCCTCCTTCAGTAATCTTCCATCACATATTAATATGCTCAAATTTCCCTTAAAAAAAGCAAAATAAACTACCTAATTATATTCCTCTGCCTTTTGTTTTTGTAGACTCAAAAACTCGGAAGATCATGCACATAGTTCTCTTATACCTACTGTTATAGACTTCTCAGCCCCCAGAACTGGGAGAAATAAATATATGTTGTGAAAGCCACCCAGTCCATGGTACTTTCTTATAGTAGCCCAAATGGACTAAGACATGCCTTCACCCAGCTTCCCCTATTATTCACATCTTAGGTTAGTATGGCGCATTTGCAACAATTACCGACCCAATATTGAAATGTTATTATTAAAGAAACTCCATACTTTTTTCATATCTCCTTAGTTTGTACCAGTGTCCTTTTTCTATCCTAGGGTCTCATCTAGGATATCACATTACATTTATTTGTCATGTTTCCTTAGACTGTTTGGCAGTGACAGACAGTTTTCTAGCCTTTCCTCATTTTTGATGACTTCGTCAGCTTTTAGGAGTACCAGAGTCAAGTATTTTGTAGAATGCTCCTGTACTGGAATTTGTCTGATGTTTTTCTCAGACTAGAGAAATGGGTTTTTGAAAGGAAGACTACAGAGATAAAGTACCATCCTCATCATATCACATCAAGGATACATGCTATTAATGTGATTTATCACTTTTGGCTATTGGCCTTGATTGCCTGGCTAAGGCAGTATTTGTCAGGTTTCTCCATTGTAAAGTTACTTTTTTCCTCCCTTTCCATAGTGTATACATTATACACATTAGCAAGAAGTTAACATGTACAGCCAACACCTTAGGAGTGGGGATTTACGCTCACTCTACTTGAGGGCAGAGTAGCTACACACATTATTCGGAATTCTTCTGTGTGGAAGACTTGTCTCTTCTCCCTCATTTATGTGACTCATGGATATTTAGTTTATACTTTGAGTTATTATCCAATGCTATTTTTAAAATTTTGTTGCTCAAATTCTTTCAGCTTTGGTCAGTGGGAGCTCTCTTAGTAGGCTCCTATATCCTTTTTGACATATCCTCATCAATGTAGGTTTTTGTTTTTCTTGTTTGTTTTGAATACTTCTTAATTACTGGCATTATGAGATACTCCAGGTCCATCATGTGTATTTCCTGCCCCAGTCCTAGAATCAGTCATTTCTCAAAGGAGCCCTGGTATCTTTTATTGGAGAATGATATTACAAACCAAGATATGGGTACTAGGTGAGCTCACTGCTCCAGGGATATCATTGCTTATAGACTCTTTCAGCTGAGAGAGCCAAGAAATACACACATTAACCCATTTATATACATATATCTATAAATATTTCTATATGTAATCATCCACATTGTGTTAAGGTACATGAGTTCATGCTGTCTCCAACCCTTTGCTTATCTGTAGATTCCCACTCCAACAATGAGAAACCTGGCTCGCAAACATTTGCTATCAATTTACATAATTGTTTAATTCCCATATACATGTATAAAATTATCAGAATCGTTAACTTGTATACCCATGGGTAACAACTTTATCAACTAGAGTAAGCACTTATGTGTAGTTCTTTTTTTGCCTTTAATCTTACACTCTAATCATTTCCAAAGTTACTTATGTTGACACCTTTCCCCCTAATTCCCTTCACTGAAGTTGTTTCATATATTTGTAATATAGTTAGATTATTCATTTCTCAGCACATACTCACTTCTTAATTCCTTGCAATCTGGCTTCTTACCTCCACCCCCACATTGTTAATGACACTATGTTCTCTCTCAAAGATCTGTTTTTTTCCTTTGATTCACATCTTTTTCTATGCAGCCTAAGACACTGTGCGACTCTTTTTAATTTTTAGAGACAGAGTCTTACTCTTTACTCTGTTGCCGAGGCTGGAGTACAGTGGCATAATTGTAGTTTACTGCAACCTTGAACTCTTGGGCTCAGGCAACCCTCCCAAGCATAAGACATTGTGCAACTCTTTTTTTTTTTTTTTTTTTTTTGAGAGTCTCCCTTTGCCACCCAGGCTGGAGTGCAGTGGCACGATCTCCACTCACTGCAACCTCCGCCTCAGGAGTTCAAGTGATTCTCCTGCCTCAGCCTCCTGAGTAGCCGAGGACTGCAGGCATGTGCCAGCATGCCCAGTTAATTTTTTTTTTTTAATTTTTAGTAGAGACGGGGTTTCACCATGTTAGCCAGGATGGTCTTGATCTCCTGACCTCATGATCTGCCCGCCTCGGTCTCCAACAACATGCTGGATTACAGGTGTGAGCCAACGTGCCATCTTTTTTCTAAATTTTAGAGACAGAGTCTTACTCTGTTGCCCAGGCTGGAGTGCAGTGTCATAATCATAACGTACTGCAACCTTGAACTCCTGGGCTCAGGAAACCCTCCCATCTCAGCCTAGTTGAGTAGCTAGGACTACAGGTGTGTGCCACCATGCTCAGTTAGTTTTTAATGTTTTGCAGAACTGAAATCTTGCTATGTTGTCCAGGCTGGTCTTGAACTCCTGTCCTCAAGTGATCCTCCAGCCCCAGCCTCCCAAAGTGTTGGGATTACAGGCATGAACCACCATGCCTGGCCTGTCCAACTCTTAAATGTTATCAAATTCCAAATTTCTACTGCTGACCTCACATTTTTAAGAGGATGTTCTACTTTAACACATTTATACTTAGAATGCCAAAGATTAAATTTAATCCTTTTCAGAACTCACTTATTCTCTTTTTCTGGTGCCACAGTCAGCTCTCCAATGCCCATGCAAAAAACCTCAAAACACATTTCTAACTCTTTTTAAATCCCATCTTTTTACAAGTCCTGCCGGCTCTATCACTCAAATCTTGCTCGTTTGTTGTTCTTGCTCGCTGCCAATACATTATTTTAAGCCTTTATTAGTGTTCACTGGGATGACTTCAGCAACTTAAAAAATTATTTTGTCCAGTTTAAACTTGTTAGGTTTTATTTCTCACAGCACCCTGTGGTAAGTGACAGCACTCGATATAGTTTGCAGTTTCACTGTATTTTAGAAGTTTTTTGTTTTCAAATTGATACACACACACACACACACACACCCACACACACACCCACCCACCCATGGCCAGGCACGGTGGCTCACGCCTATAATCCCACCACTTTTGGAGGCTGAGGCAGGCAGATCACCTGAGGTCGGGAACTGGAGACCAGCCTGACCAACATGGAGAAACCCCATCTCTACTAAAAATACAAAACTAGCCAGGCGTCGGGGCACAGGCCTGTAATCCCAGCTACTCAGGAGGCTGAGCCAGGAGAATCAATTAAACCCAGGAGATGGAGGTTGCAGTGAGCTGAGATCGTATCATTGTATTCCAGCCTGGACAATAAGAGCGAAACTCCATCTCAAAAAGAAAGAAAGAAAATATAAAAATAAAGAAATAAAAATAAAACTTTCATTACTTTCAATAGAACAAAGTACAAGTTCCTTCATCTAGCATTGAAGGCCCTCTATTAACTGATATTAGTCAGGTAAGGATTTTTTCCCCACTATTCCCTTCCTCACAATTTAGTTAATGTAACTTATGAGCTTTCCCCAGTTCAACTTTCTTCACTAAATTCTATTTAATCCTTTCAGGGACAATCTTTTCCAACTCAAAATAATCACTGCATTCTCTGTAACTCTCTTATACTATTTATTTCCTTCTACATTAATATTTGTATATGTCTGTCTTTTTTTTGTTGTTCTTAAATTCCTTGTATTTTATCTTGGTGCCAATGTCACTGCATTAGTACAGTGTTTTCCAGTAATAATGTTGTTGTCATTGAAGATGATGATAGCCCCTAAAGTTTACTGAGTATTGTGGACAAATATATGTCCCCCTCTAAAAATTCATGGTGAATGCCTAACTCCTAGTACCTCAGAATGTGACTGGATTTGGAGAGATGGCCTTTACAGGGATACAATTAAATGAGGACAGGCCAGGCGCAGTGGCTTATGCCTGTAATCCAGCAATTTGGGAGGCTGAGGCAGGCAGATCACGAGGTCAGGAGATCCAGACCAGTCTGGTCAACATGGAGAAACCTCGTCACTACTAAAAAATACAAAAATTAACCCAGTGTGGTGGCACGTGCCTGTAGTCTCAGCTACTTGGAGGGTGAGGCAGAAGAATCATTTGAAACTGGGAGGTGGAGGTTGCAGTGAGCCAAGATCATGCCACTGCACTCCAGCCACTACACTCCAGCCTGGGCAACAGAATGAGACTCTGCCTCAGAAAAAAAAGATTAAATAAGGACATAAGAGTGGGCCTAATTCTATAGGACTATTGTCCTCACATGAAGAAGATGGCAAACCAGGAGTGTTTGTGCACAGAGAGAAGTCCATGTATGAATAGCCAGACACCTTGATTTTGGATTTACATGCTCTAAAACTATGAGAAAATACATTTCTGTTGTTTAGGCCACCTATTCTGTGGCATTTTGTTACAGCAGCCTCAGCAAAGTAACATAGTAAACAAGGCACTGTTCTAAAAGCTTTATAAATATTAACTCATATGATCCTCATAACAACCCAACAACATAGATATTATATTAATATCCTCATCTGCAAGATAAGGAAACTAAGGCACAAAGAAGAACTTTGCTCAGTTTGTCCCACAGAAAGCACTGGAGTTAAAATCTGAAAGCCAAGCAGCCTGGGCCTATGTAATACACTGTAAAATTTATGAAATAAATAAAGTAGCCTATTATAAGATTTTCCTATTTATTGATAACCAAAACCTCTTATGAATGTACTTTTTAAGTCTTTGCATGAAAAATGTAAATAAACAAACTTTAATAATAGGTACTTCAAATTAAGAAATACATAAACTTTCTAAAAAGTTTAGAAAACAGAGACTAAACAAAAAAGAAAATAAGAGCCCTACAATCTATTGGGCAGAGATGAACACTGCTAACATTCTGGTAAGAATTCCTTCTAGTCATTTTACAATTTTTTAATAGTTTGATTTTCTAGAGGGCAATTTAATACTTCTTCAATGTGATATATTTGGTATATTAAACTTTTTGGCAAAACTGATTATCAATCTTCTACCCTTAAAATAATTAAGATGTGACATGGAAAAGACTGAATTAGATTATAATACTATCTCAGAAAGGGGAATGACCCAAAATATAAAAATTAGTAGGCTGTGTGCAGCTCACACCTGTAATCCCAGCATTTTGGGAGGCCAAGGCAGGCAGATCAAAAAGTCAGGAGTTCGAGACCATCCTGGCAGTGTGCTAAAACCCCATTTCTACGAATAATACAAAAATTAGCTGGGCATGGTGGCATGCACCTGTAATCCCAGCTACTCAGGAGGCTGAGACACCAGAATTGCTTGAACCTGGGAGGTGGGGGTTGCAGTGAGCCAAATCACGCCACTACACTACAGTCCAGGTGACAGGGCAATACTTCATCTCAAAAAAGAAAAAAGAAAAAAAACATAGCTACTCAGTAACAACTGAAGCAAAAAGTTAGCTCCACTGACTACAGAGTCAGCTTTTTCTCTGCACCATGTTTTTAAATATGGAGGTCTGAAGCATCTAATTCCCATCGAAGACAGACATGGGTGCTAAATTGTTTATTCCACCCGTAAGAATGACATAACAGTCATTAGAAAACAATATAATATAATAAAATTAGGAAATGAAATTTTTTTCTTTACTCTTACAAGATTAAAAGCCACTGAGTTGCTGTTTTTGGATTGATAATTACTATCTTTTTTTTTTTTTTT